GCCGGTGAAGCAGAGAAAAAAGGTGTTCACCTTATAAAATGGAGAACATTGTCTCACTCAGGCTGAAGGTCTCGGGGTAAGGGAAATGGCAGATTTCAATATCGCATGAATGTGGAGTTAGCATGGAGGATTTTGGAAAATTCATCCTCGTTGTTGGCACGGTTCTTCAAACATCGATATTTTAGATCTATATGGGAGTTTGACGGAAGAAGAGGGTGTTCTCATGCATGGAAGGGGATTTTACTTGGCTTATTGCACTTGAAAGGCAATGTATAATGGAATATTGGTAATAATCAGATGGTGGATTTCTAGGTGGATCCATGTTTAGTAAGTCAGTCACTTTCGGATTTGCAGGGTAATGACATTCAGGAGGATTTGGGGGCTACTGCAGGGAGGAGGGTTTCAGACTTTATAGGAGGTGCACCTCAGTCTTGGGTTATGCTACCTCCCATATCTGATTTTTTGAGAAATATATGGAGGGAGCTTGAGAATTATACTCTTTCTCTGCAACCCAAAAAGGATTCATTGGTCTGGATTCACTCTGCTGATGACTTATTTTCTATTAAAGGGGCATGTGATTTTATTAGGCATCAAGGTTCATCACAACCCATTTTTCGTGCACTTTGGTCTTCTAAATGCCACCCACGGGCAAAATGGTTTTCTCATGGGTGATCTTGCATAATCAATTGCCCACCTCATTTTTATTGCAGCAGCAGAGCATGCAGCTGGACTCTTTATGTCCCTTTTGTAGCAACCATGATGACAGCCTTTTCCATCTATTATTCCAATGTGCTTTTGTGCAACGTGTATGGAGATCATTAGCTGGGAGATGTGGAAAATAATTTGTCCTTGGTACTTCTGTCCCTGATTTACTTAGGTGGTGGTTACTTTTCAGGTTTAAATCTCATAGACGTCGTAATATTTGGTCTTCCATCTTTTTTACTACTATTTGGTTTCTATGGGAAGAGTGCAACAGAAGAGTCTTTGAGTCAAGACCCATCAGGAGAGAGTTTATTGTGAAACGGATTATCTTACATGTTCAGGCACTAACAAAAGTTAAAAAGTAGTCTTGCCATTTATCAAAAAATGCCATAATTGGTAATCTTCAGATAACTTAGCGTCAGCAGTTGTTAGAATCCCTTATTTATGTTGCGTGGTCATTTCTTGAGGCTCATAATTACAAGCTTAATAATGATCGTGCTTTCTTGAGAAATCCAGGTTTAGCAGGTGGTGGTGGAGTCATCAGGAACAGAGAGGGTGGTTTTATTATTGCTTTTGCAAAGCATTTTGGTTTTGCTTCAAATAACCATGCAGAATTCTTGGCACTTGAAGGAGTCGGTTGGTTCATCAGAGGAATGGATTTCCAATACAGATAGAAAGCGATTCGGCCCTGCTTGTAGATGTCATTTAGAATCGATGCCGTGCTCCATGGCGGCTAAAGATGATTGTAGATAATTGCCGTACCAGACTTTCTTCTCAGCGATGGTCTCTTGCACATGTTTGTCAAGAGGCAAACATGGTTGTTGATGCCCTTGCTAAGAGGGCATTTGCTAGCCCTGGTGCTACTGTGTGGTACCATAGACCACTAGATTTTCTTTCCTCTCTTTTATTACATGCTTTGACGCAACTTCCCTACTATAGAGTTGTACATTAATTGTTTTTCTCTGCTCATTTATCAATGAAAAAACAGGTAGGGGGCCTTCTTCCCCACTGACTTACCCAAAAAAACAAGTTCTGGTTTATAATCGTGAGTAGAGACAAACTACAACTTAAAAGAAGAATAAAATTGAAAAGACACTTCCCCCATTTTAAAATATAAAGAGGGAAGTCACAATCTTCTCAGATGCAGAGAAGGAAGTCTCAACCTTCTCAATATTAAAGTTGATAAATGTATTGTTTATCACCAAACTTCTTGGATTATGTTAATGAAATCAAGTGATATAATCAAAATCAGTCATTAGGATTTGGCACAGGCACCTTAGGTTGAGTTTGAATAATTCACAAGAAATAACAAGTATATGCATACTAGTTATATAAATATCATCATCATCATCATCCAAGCCTTATCCCAATTATTTGGAGTAGGTGAATTCTGCTTCTCTATTCTTCTCTATCAAGGGTCATACCCTCAGTAAGACCAAAAATCACCATATATTTTCTCACTACTTCTATTTATGTTCCTTTGGATCTTCCCCTTGCCCTTTTATATCATTTTACTTGAACCAAAAGGTACCTCCTAACTGGTGTTGTATTAGGTTTATGTTATACATGGCCAACCCAGTTAAGTCTATTTTCTCTCATCTTATCGCCTATTGAAGTCATATCTAAGTTCCCTCATATGTATTCATTTTGAATTCTATCCTTTCTTGTTTTGCCACTCATCCATCTCAACATCCTCATCTCAGCTACGCTCATCCTATGGATATGTTGTTTCTTGACCACCTAAAATTTCGTCCCATAAAGCATGGCTAGCCTTACAGCCGTCTTATAGAACTTCCCCTTCAGCCTCAATGGTATGTGGAGATCACATAAAACTCCAGATGCACATCTCCACTTCGCCCATCCAACTCTAATTCTATTTGCAACATCTTCTTCAATCTCTCTATTCTCCTGGATTATCAACCATAAAAATCGGAAACAACCTCTATTAGGTTTTTCTTAACCATCAATCTCTTTTAGTTACATAAGTATGTATATACTATTTATAGTAACTTGGTCTAATAAGGGTGAGGACCTTAAAGTTTCCTCAACGGGTAAAAGAGGTGGGTTGCATTAGGTAGGTAGCCAATGTAAAACTTTACCACATCTTATCATGAATCTTAAACATATGTTATAGAGAAGAATGGAGGAACATGATTCAAGTAGCCAACCCCAAATAATTGGGATAAGACTTGGATGATGATGATGATACTGTTTATAGTAACTATGCACTAGTAAATATTATTGTCCAATTAAAAAACTGAAACCAGCAAAGAATAATTTTGATCTTTGTACCTAAGTTCAAGATTTTTGCATTAGAGATGCTGGACTAGTGTGTTTGAACACCTAAGGTTTTAGCCTCCCTTCAAATATGCAAAAGATGGCATGTAGTGTTTGGTCCATTCTTTCTCTCTCCTCCCTTTGATGATTCTAACATAAGGATTGAGTGGGGTGTCTGACCTCTTCCCTGCTCATGACAAGTTACAACCCATGGCCTATTTATAAAAGACACACCTACCCAAAAGTAAGTATATTTGTTTAATCTCTCAAATCTCACTCGCCAAAAATTTCACATCATTTCCAAAATCTTGTGTGCCATGGTGGTCCACCTCTGTACTTTGTGCTACCATTGACAATCCCACAAAAAGACAAAGGATGTGCCGTAGTGTACGAGTCCATGCACACATGCAAAGGGTTTCCCGCATTCTAAATCTTCCCAAAAACTATTGATGATGTATGTGGACAAGACTTTTGATGATGTATTTAATTATCTAAGAGGAACTTGGTGGACTCTCTAGATGTGAAATCAGCCCCACCATCACTTGGGAAATCAATGAGATTATGGGAAAATTGGTTTTCAGCAAAGGATTTGAATTGACAAAAGTCTCTGAACATTTCAGATTTCACTTGAGAAAGAAAATCCAAATGTGTTGACTATAATTGCCAATAAATGTAACATAGTGAACACTTCCATATTTTCACCATATTCACACAAAAGATGGATTCAGGTCTGATCCTAAAGAAACTTATTTAAAGGTATCAGTTGGGTTATGGATGGTTTCAATATTCAACCTAAAATCTCCACTGCATGTCGTATCTTGCATGAGGTAAAGGTGATGCGTTTAAAGTTGCAAATTCAGCAATAAACAAAGTGAAATTTCCCAGTATAAGTTTATCTTCTTCCTGCCCTTTATTGCTGTGCAGATCTGAAAAAGGGTAAATTCCTATTTGGAGGTAAGCTCCAAAAGCATATTTCCTCCAGCTTGAGGTACAACGCACCGTTATGAATGAATGCAGTACATATCAGTGTCAACATAACTGAAACAGACACATTTTCAGTTTGTCATCTGGTCTGGTTCTGATAACACTGGCATGTAACATGTTCATCATTAAGAAGCATAGTGCCTCAAACCATAGATTCTTCTGTTAGGGAACCTGAACACAGAATAACAAAGTCATCCATACCCTGTGGAAAAAAGGATGTTGCATATGTCAACATAGATGGCAAGTCTATTAGTAAGGTCTTGGACCTGGTATGCCCCAATCAGCCACACGACAAATCAGCAGAAGGCTCCCTGTCAAGGTCACATATGTCTGATACAGTAGGAGCAGAATCTTGGTCATCTAATAAAAAACATATTTCAACATTTTTTTTTTGAGAAAAAGTTAACATAAAAAACACATCTCATCATTTTAAACATCTTAGGCGGTTATCATCTTCATTTGGGGTCGTCCACTACAAACAAGTCCCATCAAACTCGAAATTGTAGTTAAATAAAGGCGTAGATCAACAAATACGAATCACATTCTTGATTCTTCGAACCATAAGCACAGGGGGGTAATATTAATGCTCCTAAAGAAGACAAGAACAAATGAGTCTCAGACTAAGCAAGACAGGAAGAGCTGAGCCATGTACACTGACAACATAAGACACGAATGGAACTTAAGGGAAATATCATTAACAACATGACATGTGGCTCTTTAGACGACTTCCTTAATAACATGACATGTGGCTCTTGAGACGACTTTCCAGAATGGTTTGAGCTTTTTGGGCAAGTCACCAAATAACCAAGATCCCCTCAGACCGCAATAACACATGATACACTACTAAAGAAGCCTCATGTAAGATAACCAGAATATACCTTATCCACACAAAGGACAAGGATCACTAGTCCTAAATACTCATTCATATTACATACCAAAGCTAAGTTGTTGTACACAATGTTCATTTACCACATTATCAATTGATCCATGAATATATAGGAAGTTTAAAAGTAAATCTAGAAGCATATGAAACATACCCTGCTGAGACCAGAATTATATCTGGTTTAAATCTTTGTGCTGATGGTAAAATGACTTCATCAAATACAGTCCGCATGGTAAAATCACCAGAGCCTCCTGGTAGGGGCAGATTTAATGTTGCCCCCTCACCATCTCCTGACCCAACCTCCTCAATTTTACCAGTGCCAGGATAGCTCCCATCCTGAAAGAAATGATAGAAGTAATCCGAAAAGATTCATACATCTGTGGGCCCTACTGAAGACAGAATGATCATGAAGAATAAAAGAAATGGATAAACCTACTCTTACTCAAGCCATAGAAGCTCAAAAAAGTGGTGCTCCAGCAATACTGTGATATGAGTTCTAGATTATAAGGCCATAATGCAAAACACTATATTTAGGCTTCTTGAATCCTTAAATGGGGAGGAATTTTCCCCATGCAAAGAGTTTTTATCTTCTATGTAATGAGTTCCTTGAATGGGACCTTTGTATGGGGATTCTTTAGTTAAGCGCGATAAATATACCATGACAATGTTGGGACCACAAGGTTGCAGAATACAACATCAATAGATTGAAATAGATGAACTGCATGTCCATGAAAGACCATGCATAAACACTAAACACCATCCAACTGGATATGCTGGATATGCTTCGAGTTACTCTCATGAAGTTTGACTAGTGTTCAGGGATTTGAGCTCACACTTCACATTTTTGCTCCACTTTGATTTAATGAGTTTGACCCCAGGTTACATATCAAAAAGAAAGTGTTAAGCAAGGGCCCTTAAGTGCCCAAATATTACTACTTCAATGTAACTCATATCCAGGATATTTGGCATTCCAAAACAATCTGAAAACGTGTCTCATTACTCAAGTGAACCCATATTAAGATTACAGGAGGTAAAAAATATTTGTTCCTTTAATACCTACTCTTTAAGAAATTGAGGACCTTGGTTTGTGTATGACTTTGTCATACCCAAACCCCTACAGCCTATTTTTTCTTCCTTTTAATGTTCACGTGTAAATTTGCAGCTCAGAAAGTTGTTTGGTATAATCTCAAATATAAATCTGGTCACATCATGTGCTCACAATTTCCGGTAATACAACTGAGGATGATCACTTCAAAGCAACTATTTGGTTCCTGGCTCTGGTAAATTGGCTCCATTTGTTTAGTCTTTCATTGAAGCTCAGTATAGGAAAGAATGACTTTCATTTCAAGAGAATGCTCCACATTTGAGCAAACTTCTCTAGTATCTACCCAGAAATAGATGCCCCATGCTCTCTCGATCCATGCAAAAGAGCAAATCTCGATGCAAGGAGATACCTCTCCCAACTTCCCTTAGAATAGTTTCCCAGCACATAACAATGCTGGTTTCGTGCAAACAGATGGGAGCCAAGCCCACTTGATCCAATCAAATGTATTCACTCATCCTAAGCATTAAAACATAGGTTCCATGCAGTTTTCATTGTAAAATCACCACTTAACTAGGCTTCCATATCCTGACTTAATGAAGAAAAAAAATTTTCCATACGTAAGAGTTTATGGAGTATTGACTCAAAGGTTCTTTGGAGTATCAACTCTGATGTGGTTCACAGGATCAGTACCAAGAATATGGAGTACTCACTAACTAGAATGGATAACTAGCAGATCGTGGCAAATCTAAAACCCAACTGTCATGACTGATCATCCATTTTGTTTCAATCAAACTTTCTTTATATAACTTTCATTCATGGTTTTATATGCCTTTCAGTCACTTTTCCTGTGGGTAAATCTCTTTAAATGCTTACCCTTATGTAGAAGTTCTATGCGTGTGATCAAACTCCAGCAGAGCTTCGTCATGTAATAAATCATGAAGTTTATAGTTATGTCTCTTGTATTTAAGTCCCTCAGGACTTAATTGTCTTTGCCCTTACTTAAGGGTAGCTTTGTACCTTAAACCTTTTATTATTAATATAAGAATATATTGGTGGGGCATGGGGGTCTACCTCTCTCTCTCTCTCTCTCTCTCACACACTTTCTCTTTCTAATCTTATCCTCTTATACTCTTAATCTCTTACAAATTAGTTTACTGTAATTTAACTTGGTATCGGAGCAAGAAAATTTGGGATTATATGTTTGAAACCCTAACGATGTGATTTGCCCGTGCGAAGGTCCCCAATAGATGTACAGTCAGAAACCCTAATAAGGAAAATTAGGTATGGATTAAAAAAACCTTCATGTTATGGTTCCCTTCTCTCCGTGGATTTTATTTTATGAGTGGTTCAAAAAACTAGATGAGGGTGGCCGAGACCTAGTTTGTGTAGATTGAGAACTTGGATCTAAAAAATTGATATAGTGCCTAATTTCATGGTCAGTTTCTATTTGGATCGAGTTTGTGAAGTTGAACTGAGAACCCTAGACCTGGTTGTAATGTTTTGGTGTTCCAAAATTGGTTGTTCGACTCCTATTGAAAGGAATGGCTATGTGGAACTCTAGGTAAATTTTTTATTTTTTTTACTTTTATTCAAAATATTGAAATTCCACTTACATGGGTCACTATATGTTGCTGTAAATTAAAATAATACTCTAGATACAACTTAAGATCTTTATTTTTACTGCCAAAAGAAATAAAAACTATTCAGGAGCTTTAAACAAACTTTCGCTATAATTTTTTATATATTACATGTTCCTGAAAATTCATAAAAAATAAAAAATAATACTGAAAATTAATTAAAGCTACTGAGAAGACTTATTGGAAGATGTCTGGAGTTATCCTCACAGGTCTTGGAACACTTCACACTCGTTGTATTGTTGGAAATTCTGAAATAGGGAAGCTTTGTAGGTAATACTTATTTTTCTAAAGTTTTAGAGAGCTCAAAAATCAAAAATAGGGTTGAACTTGTGAGTTGATCTCTCTCTAGGTTGGGTCTCTCACTTCTTTTCTTCAAAATACAGCAAACCTCACTTAGTGTTTGAAAGCTCAACTTTTTCTCTTTTATTTTCTTTGATAGAAGTTACTCAAATAAGAGGAGAGAGGATGGTGAAATGCTTTTGCCTTAGAGGGTCATGTGGTTTAAAATTTGATGAAAGAGAGAGAGAGAGAGAGAGAGAAAATAGTGGCATGGAGAAAAGAGAGCGAGACGTGATGGAGAGAGAAAACTTGGGCGTGAGAGAGGATTCTTTGCATGGGAGATAAAGATCTTGTCATGATTTGAAAGATGTTCAAATATATCTTTAAATAGAATGAAATCTATCTCCTAATTTGAATAGGATTCCAATCTAAGTATGCTTATTCAAATTTCAGCTTAACCTTTAGGACAACGAGGAAATCTGTGGGGTGAGAGAGATTTAATCAGAGCCATCCATTTCATAAATCAGCTATCATGATTATGGATGGAAAAAAAAGAGCCATATCCCTTTAGATTTTCACCAAATCCAACTCCTATTTAAATTTGAAATATAACCATCATAATCTAGAACCCCCATAATCAAGGATATTCTATATTTTAAAACTCCTACTAGAATAGGAAATCCAATCTTATTTAAAATTAAAAGATTTTCTATCTTTAACTTAATTTAAAATGGGGTGTGCCACTTTTTTGTTAAAATAATGACGTGCCTCCTTTTGCTAAAATAAAGTGCCATGCCTCCCTAGGGGTTAATGTGGCCCCACATGGGTGGCACACACATGTGGGGGCTAGATACTTGATCCCCACATGCGTTTTATCAAGTTCTGAAAATTTCAGGAATACCCTTTTAATGAATATTATAACAGAAATACTATTTTAAAATTCTGAAAAAAATATTTAAAAAATATAAAAGCATTTATAATATCAACTAGGAGTGAACTTGTACCAATAGGTCAAAATTAGAGACAATAAGGGTACTCCACTCGCCCTAGAAACCATGATCTACTATTATTTTCTTATCCAACTCATCAAAGATCACATGACCCACAGTTTCATTGCAGGGACTCATGATTGACTTGTCAAAGTTGGACAATAAACAGTGGATCATGATCCTGGAATATGGATTTCAGTTCCCCCTTTAAGAGTAACTCCAGCACTTGTCACCAAAGTACAAAAAGGGGGCTCTCTCTATGTCCATGTACAAGTGTCCCTCTATAGGGCTGCTTCCTAGTAATGCGGCCTCATGTGTACATACCGTGCAAAAGTTTGTTGAGGCTTTGGTCTTTGCTGTCATAGGCCTACAACCGTACACAGGAGATCACACAGTTCTCCTGGCATACAAACATCATCCTTTGGCATCTCTCCGACCTCAACAAGGATGTTTCTCGATAGTTCCACATGTTGAGTATATGGTCTTTCAAGGCATGAATACCAATAGTCTCTCATTCAGTGGGAGTGATTGAGAGACAGAATCTGGGTGCTTTGCGAAACGGGACTCAGATTGTTATACGCCGAGTACTTGAGGCTATGAGAATTTTACGTTCAAGAAACAAATTTCTCAAGGAGATATGAGGGTCACCACCTAGTCAGGATCTTGTTTATATTAGCCTCATGATTGTTGTGATTAGTCAAGGCTTGGAGTATCCAATCGAGTACAATAGAACCCAAGTATTTTTTATGAGTAACGGCTCTGTATGGGATGGTCATGACTTATGGGACATAAGTCCGTATCTTGACACGATAAAATTCCATGGCATGTGTACTAACGTTCACATGGGAAGCCACTTTTTTAAATCCATTATTCGAGTTTGGAAGAGTCAGTGCACATGTGCTTTGAGAGGACCCCTGTACTTGTGCTGGAATATGTCCCACAGAGGTGCACCTGTAATCCATTGAGAGTCAGATGATGGAAAGCTCTGGCTCAAGACACCGGCGGAACATCATTCAAGACTAGCCCAATGGAGTACTCTGATACCTAGAGTCGAGGCCATGAGAACTCACTTACCCTTTGTCCAATTTAATTATAATAAAAAATGATGAATAAATGTTTACAAATATTTTAAATATTTATTGTGAATTTTGGAGAATTTTTTGAAATTTGTTTATTGACAAAAATGTACTTTTAGTATTTGTTTAGACCTAATTCCATTTGCGAACTGCCACGTGGAACACTCGAGTGGCCATAGGGTGACCACATGGCACTTCTGGTCCCACCATAAGATCAACGGACAGTTGGACGTTAATCCCAAGATGGGGGATGTGGATGGCATATATTATTCTGTTATATTGTTATTTTTACTTGTTATATTATGTTATA